CTGCTTTCTTTCCCAAAGTTGTGCTATCCTGTAAATTGGGCAAAGTCTAGCTGCTTTCTCTGAGAGAATACATGCATTTGTATCTGTATCTGCATTAGGAATAAAGGTTTCATACTTATAATGAAAAAAAAAATGGAAATGGACTAAAAGTCCATGTGACCATGGACAAACCACTTAGCTTTCTGAGCTTTCGTTTCCTCATCTGTCAAATGGGGAAATAGGGAAGTCAACATCTTATGAGGTGTTGGGATAAAATAAGGCTCTATTCTAGAAAGGATTCTGAAATCTTTCAAGTACAGCTGGTATAAATATAGGATATAGTTAGTACTTTCATTTTCTGAATCTTAGATTTACAAAGATTCATTTCTGTTAGAACAACATGTTCAAGTAATATATGTGCATGTGTATATGCATACTTTGTAAAAGTTACTCCAATATTTAGCAACATGAGTTTGCATATTTCAAATTGATTTCAAAATATTATGGTTGTAAATGACATAGTTAAAATTTAATAACCTAACAATTATTAGTAAGGTTCAGCCCAATAAATCTTACATTATATTACATTACAAACATCAAAAACACCAGCTATGACTAATCTTATCATGGAAACAAGGATGCTTTTCCTAAGTGAATTTGGGGTGTGCTTGGGGCGGCTTGGAGATCCAGAGCATATTAGGATATAGCCTAAAAGAAACCTGTTTGCTTCAAGATGACAGAGAGTTCTACAGAGCTCAAATCTTTTGGGTATCTGCTAATGCAGCTACTTTCTTCCCTATTCACCAGCTTTCTGTGTGCTCCCCCGGGCACAACTGCCAGGACTCAGACAGTGCTGAGGGACAGGACAACTGCCCAGTTCTTAATACCCTACACTCTTTACCACTTGAATTTCAAACTTATTTGGTATAAGGAAAGTGTTCCACTATTATTATTGTCTTAGCTGTTGTTTGTTAAAACAATCAATTGGAAAAGGCAAAACGAGTTGACTTTGACGAAGAAAAACAACAAAGGCTGTGTTACCTGGACCGCTGACATTAAACTGAGGGCTGTTAGGAGAAAAGCTGTTGTGTCTCTGGACCCTGCGGCTCGATCGTTTTCCAGGCCATTGAATCGACAGGACTTCTGGCTTGGTCGGCCCTTGCCTTAAACGACAGAGATAACATTTAACCTCAATGTCAGCGCTTCAGTCTCTTGCCTCCAGGAACAAATCTTCAAATGTCAGTCACGAAGGTTTTCTAGTGTAGTGAAATGAAAACTTATGAGAATGACTGCTCGCAAACATGCTCTAGAAACCCAGGGTGATTTGGTACTAGCGTATGTGAACCGGAGGAAGAGAATTCTGAACTTTCTTTATTCTTAAAATTAAAAAGTCTGGGTAAAAATCATAATTTTAGAAAGATTTCTTTCCTTTGTTGGTCAACCATCAGTAGAAAAAACATTTATGTGTACGCTGCTGTTGTATTTTGTTTAGCTTGAGGACACCTATGGAGTTTTCTTTCTTTAATTCAGTTTTTAAAATTTATTTTTTGATCAAAGCTATACATCCTTATATTTTTAAAAGTCAAATAATTCTATAAATCTTATTTCAGCAAACAGGAGCTCCTTCCTCTTGCCCCCATATTATACCCTCTCTCCTCTTTCACAAAGACAATACTTTTTAGCAGGGATTTGCTTTCATATCAGTATATAACATGCTTAAATTGCTAACTCTTTATTTTGTAGTTTTAGGCTTTATCTATTAACTTTCCAATATGAAAAGCTCAGGCCAATGATATACACATGGAAATGTTATAAGGAACTCCCAGGAAGGCTGCTTGAAAGGACAGATTCAACTAGGAGGAAACCCTTTTGTCTTTCCTTATTCTTCTTTCCTGGTTGGAATGTGGACATGATAGCTGGAACTCCAACAACCACCTGGGACCATGAGGCAAACTTGGGAATGGAAGATTTGCACTTGAGATGTGAAAAAGACAGAAAGTCTATGATAAATCTGTAAAGATGTCATACTTGAATTAAGCTGCTCCCTACCAGATTTCTTTATAGGAGATAATAAGCCCTTATGTGTTTAAGCCACTTTTTTTTCTGTCATAGGTAATCAAATCTAATACTAATATACTCATCCCAAAATCTTTATTGTTTGTCAGCTAGGGAAGATTCCTTTAGCCTTTCTCTTATGTTATATTACCTCCCCCTCCTCTTTTACTACATTTCATTTTTGTTCTTAATTGACTCCTTTGTTTTGGTGGAAAATATCCCCTAATTGATTCATAAGAAATGGTACACGATAAGAGGTAAAATTCTTGAGATTTCACATGTATAAACACCTACTTTATTGGTGGAGTAATGGAGTAAAGAATTCTAAGTTGCAAATGATCTTGAAAAAGTTGTTCCATTATGTTCCAGCTCCCACAGTCACTACTGAAAAATCTAATGTTTTCTTGATCCTCTGCATATGACCTGGTTTTTCTCTCTGGCAATTTTTAGACACCTACCTTTGTCTGCAATATTGTGAAATTTCATAATGGCATGTCTTGGTTTTGGACTTTTATTACTCATTATAGTGGGCTCTTGGTCTGGTCTATCAAGATCGAAACTCATGTCCTTGTTCTGAGAATTTTTCTTGAATTATTCATTTCATAATTTTTCTCCTTTGTTCTCCTTCTGGAATTGCTGTTTTACAAATATCGGACCTCTTGGACTTACCCTTTAGTTTTCTTATTATTTCTTTCCTGTTTTTTTATCTCTTTGTAGAGATTTCATCACACTTTTATATCTAAACTTGCCTCAGAGAATATCATTTTTGCTTTCATACTTATAATTTCCAAGACCTCTTGTGTGTGCTTTCAATATTCTTTTTTTTAATAGCATTCTGTCCTTAATTCATAAATGCAAGATCTTCTCTTAGACTTCTGAAGTTTATTGATCATTTTATTTTTATAGGTTTTTTTCCTGCTGTCTGGATTATTTCTCTTTCTTTTCCTGTGTTTGATTTTTTTGTTTGTTTGACCCCACGCATTTTGGAAGCAGGAACCACAAGGCTAATGGGGACCTCTGTGTGGGGACTGCCAACTTGCAGCCTCTGCTGCAGAGTGGCCTGGCTCGGCCTGTTTACTGGGGGACCTTGACCATTGGCATTGCTAAGTCTTTTCTCTTGGACTGATCAGATCCCTCAGAGGAGCATATCCCAATCGGAGGGGGGTGAGCCCAGTGGTCAGTACTCTGGGAGCAGGGTGTTTGAAGGGGATTTCATAGATCACTCTTCAATACGGAGACTTCATTTAATATTTTGTTTTTTAGTATTGGGCCCTGACCACCAGTTGTGCCCACCTCCAGAAATTACACCTCTAGTTCTTTAAGGATTAGGCGGATCTTTCAGCAATATGTCAGCTCTACCTCGCCCTCACTAACAGTTGCACATAGTGCAGCCAGTTCTTGAGCTTTGCAGAGGTTCTGTGATATCAATTGTATCGCATCTTGGCTTCTTGCACTGCCTGTGTAAGTTTCAGCTTTCTCAGGGCTTCCAAATCAGTTTCCACTAGATTCACCTTCTTTCCAGATTTCAGGTTTGTGTCCCTTTGGCTCTTTTTCTATCCTTTTTTTTGGGGGGGGGAGTTAATGTTTCCTTTTATCCAGGTACTTTTATTGTCATTTTTTAAGGGTTTTGAGAAAGAGCAAAAGAAATAATACATGTTTAATCTCCAATTGTTAACTAAATCTCCCTTTGGATTTTGCTATGGCATTAAAAAAAAAAAAGAAAGAAAACCCAACTATCTAGAAGCTTTGGTGGTCACGGGAATAGGTGATTAGAACAGTCCTTTTCTATGTTCAAGCTAAGGGATCGTAAGCTGCCTTTTATAATCATCTATAGGTGAAATTAAAGCCTTTTCTTACTTCTATAATGCATGACTATCAAAAGGAGAAAAGTAACTTTCAAGTCAAGAAGGAATCATTTATATCCTTGGATACAGAAGAACTTCGAAAAATAAAGGAAATTTGCAGATTCTATTATAAAAAGGAAATCTGCATATACTTAACCATGTTTCCAGAAATCTAGTTTGTGAGGAAGAGGTTTATGTAAGAGGACAGGGGTCCTCTAGAAGGAAACTTCGGTGTAACATAATGACTATTCTTGTTATTGGCTATTAGGTACTTTCAGAAGACATGGGATTAAAGTGACTCCCATTTAGTCAGTTTCCCAGGGCCGAAAGAGTGTTGTAGAATACCATCTGAAAACCTCACCTCCGTGGCATTCCAGCTGTACACGTCCCTTCTCTCTGAAATAACTATTTTCACATGAATAGACACAGCCATTCTGCCCAACATGGCATGTCTAACTCATTACTGCAGGATGAGTGATACTGTGTGATTCTGCCCTGGGCTGATAGATGGAATGGATGACTTCTCTAAATTTGCTATATCCCAAGGAGGTTTTGTATCCCTAGCTTTCACAAATATTAAATCCCAAAGTAATGTTGATGCTGAAGGGAAAGCAAATTATTCCAACTTGGGGAATTTTAATGATATGTACGGGTTACAACTTTTACCTATGCAAGGCATCATGGAATTTTCCTTTATAACATAAAAGACTGATGAATTTTTGGATACGCTAATTTGACCTCTCCTCTGTGAGCCTGTTCCCCTCTTCCTCAAATCTGTGCTACATACTACATACTAATTTTCCTTAAACCTTGTTTTCATTTTATTGCTTTTATTTATAATTTATTTACAATTAATTGCCAATGACAATCTCTGATAGAATTAAGTCTGAATGCATCTGTCTAGCTTTTAAGATCTTTCTTAACCCCAGATGCCAGATAGATTGGTCTCCTCACTGTCCCAGGGCCTCACCTACTGCTTCTCTGTAGGGCTCCCTTTACCTAGAATTCCCTTTCGTTCATTCAGTTTCACACATTCAACAAGCAGATGCACAAAGTAGAAGGGAATAACACAAAGTCCCCCTGCTCTAGAAACTCAAAGTCTAATGGGGAAGATAAACAAGGAAGGGGCTGAAGTAAGTGGCTCTACATAGATGGCACTATGGGAGTACATGGTAGCGAAGTAGGAGGTATGAAGTCCTGGTTTGAGGGCAATAAGGTCTTCCCAAAGAAAGTAGAGTCCAATCAGTGTCCAAACTGGAAGTTAGCCAGATGAGGGATGAGTAACATGGGGTGAGTGAGGAGATTGATCCCTTCCGGGAGAATATCATCCTGCCATTCAAATCCACTCTACAGGTCAGTTCAAGTCCTATCTCCCCATAGGCTTTTTCACTGGCATCTTGATTGATATCATAGGAAAAGGACGGCCTTCCTCTGTCTTCTTTTCACTGGTGAGGGTCCTGGGGTTCCTGTCGCTTTGGTTTTTCGTGGCCAGCTGATAGGAAGATGTAGCCTCAGGAGAGAAGATACAGCCCTTTTAGGTTCAGGCCTAAGTCATGTGCTTCAGTCTGGTTCATCAGAGACTAAACATTGGGTATTATGGGAACAAACCCAGAACCAGAGTGGTACCTTGTATTCTGTTTTCTTGTTTATGTATTTTTTCAGAAACGTCCCAGGTAGGAGTATCACAGATTTGAGGTGGGATCTGGACATCCCTGGATGCCTTAGTCAAGTGCCTTACAATAGCACCCCCAAACTGGCATTGAACCTGTAATATTTCCCATTATTTCGAGCTATTTTTGAGCTTTGAGCATGGGTAGGCTGTGGCCTAACACAAAGAACAGTCATCAATTAAATATTCACAAGATCGTGGTGAGTGCAGAACACAAGTTTGCAGGAGCTGACTATAGAAAAAAACCGAAAGTGTAGGTGAAGGAGGGAAGCAGAGTACTTTTCCAAGCCTCTTCTCAGGTGGTAAATGGTTGATTCTCAAAAGGGAGAACGCATTTTATTTCCAGAAAGTCTAAACAAAAGAAACAACAAAATAGGCCTCATTTTCTCATTAGGAACATGAAATCAATTTCATCGTGCTTCAAGACATTCAGTTATCCTCTGCTCAAGCCTGAGGAGCTGTGTCAATTGTTGCTTTTCTGAAGCTAATTGTTAACACTTTGCCATTTGCTATGAAATCACTCAATGCAGTGAAAATAGAAAGTTTACAATGCAAAAAATGCTTCCCAGATCCACGAAGAGTCCATCCCTGTGTTCATCAGCTGCACGGGCTCATTAGATTCTGGAATTATAGGCTTTTTTGTTACAATTTGGTCGTGCTCATTCACTTTGACATTGTAAACACATGGTGGAAAATTCCAGTGTTTTTTGGAGATGTCCTAATAATTATGTATCCGTTAATTTGTTTAGAAAAATTGGTCCTGCAGAGCAGTCTATTATCAGCTTGTTCAAAAAACTTACTGTGTGGTTCTAATTTAAAATGCAAAAGTTAGATAAAGCACATCCATAAGTTGAAAGTAACACATCAGCCAAAACATGTTGTAGGAGCAAGAGTTTTGCCAAACCCTTCTCTAACTCGCGAAGTATAAACAATGACAACTCAAGAACATACCAACTGTTCCCCTGGAATTACCTTGAAGTCTGCTTTACTCATTCCTTTAGCATTACTAAAGGAATTTAGGTTTCTCTTCAGCATTGCTGCCTTTATTTTTATATCTATTACAATATCACCACTTATCTTCTCAGTGATAACTATTGGTGGCATTGAATTTTGAAATCTTTCTCATCATTCACTTTTCTCCATTTCCTGAAATAATTAGGCTTACTGAATTCTCAACTCTCCTCATTTTTGTCCAGGCTCACTCAGTCTGTAATCTTTCCAGTCATCTCCATATTTTCGAATTATACCCATTTTCTCAAATGTCCCAGAGGAACTCCATGAAATTGACTATCATCCCTCTACCCGTGCTTAATCTTTTACTCTTCTGAAACCCACTGGCAATTTATTTCCCCTGTGTATGGTATTTACCACTTTGTACCTTGCAGTATAGTTGTAGAGCTCATGTCTTATTTATGTAATAGACTTAGGCCTCTGTAAGGACTAGCATTATGTTAAACGTATCTTCGTTTCATCCGCAGTGTCCTTTCCATCTTGTCCCTCTACTAAACCCTCAATTAAAATTCATTGACTAAATGATGGACAGTGAAAGAAAAAGTGGAATGATCTTTTTAGAGGCAAATAATAAGGCAGGCACCCAGCAGAGGTCCCAACCCTTCTTTTTAAATCTATCAATTCTCATTTTTAGTTTTCACTAGTATAAGTATGATGGCTGTCAACTGGTTTTTCATGAACATAGTCAATAAAGAGACAAGAAATGAAAACTTTTAAGTTGCCTTTCTTGACGGGTTTGTTCCTCAGTAGTTTCCATTGCACATTCCAGGGAATTCTGGAGAGACTGCAGCTGATTCAAGGTCTCCTTCAATAAAAATCGAGTTACAAATTGTTCCAAATTGGAGGCTTCTTGGTAGTCCTAAGGGTGACAAAAGAAATGTAATTAGAAGTATGGTAGAAGAAAACACCCGGAAATGGTTTTTCCTCCATGTACCCACGGATCTCAGGTTGGTCCTAAAGAGAGAGGGGAGAGAGAGAGAGTTGAGAGAGGAAGATGTGCTGGGTCCTAGATGCTACAGCAGAGCTCCACCCACCCACCAGAAGTCGAATAAAAAAGCCGCAGGAGTGACTGGAATATCTCACCTCCCACTGCATCTGCCTCGAAATTAGAGAAAAGGACAAAACACAGCAGAATTATAGAATAGACATCTATAGAAAAGGAAAAATATATATCTGAGGGAATAAGACAGGTTGGAATGTGACTAACTCTGAGTTTGTTTTGCGTTTCATTTAAATGATGATCACACCATCATATATTTTCTCTATTACGAACAAAATGCAGTCACGTTTCAGCAATTGGCTTAATTCTCTCTTAATGATCTGTATTAGGCTGAAGCCAGAGAAAATTACATGTAGTTATTTTAAAATTAAGAAAATGTTAGGCCTGGAATATTTAAACAGTTTACTAAATCTGCTTGTTTCTCTCCCTCAGCAACTTTACCTTAAGCTCATTTGCAACTAACTTCTAGAACAACACGTCAGCCAAAAAAGCACCATATATTCACACAGCTCCAGGTCTAAACAGAGATCACTGCAGACTTAATAACCATACTTAATAATGTACTGGTTATGAAGATACAAAAAGGGATCTTTGCTTAATTAAGGTGGATGGTGAGCTGTGGATGGTTTCACCTGCTGCTCTTGTTTTCTAAAGTCTCAGGAAGAACCAAGAAAGAAAACCAGGTTGGTGTGAAATAAAGTGGTGTCAGAGCTACTCTTTCAGGTCATGGGACCAGAAAGCAAAATCTGATTTTCTAGGGTCTTGGGTGGGAACAGTATATTCAAGTTCAGCCAAGGAAAGGATTTGCTTGGCCCTGTCCCTAAACAAAATGGTTTTTTTCGTGGTTGAAAACAGAAAACTAAAAAGGAATTATGGTGACAAGACAATGACATGAATCACGACGTGCTGGGGAATCTGAGGGCACAGTTGTAAACCCCCACTGCAGTTATTTAACCTGCTGATTCTCAGCCTTCTCACTTATAACTCGAGCTAAGTAACTCTGGCATACATTCCAACTCGAAAATACTCTGTGCTTCTGTCAACTCTAAATTAGGAAATATTGGACTGTGGCCTCCTGATATAAATTACTTTGGAAGTTTTTCTATTAGCAGAACAATCTAATGTCATGGAAAACTTCATTTCTTTCCTAATCTGAAACAGTAAAAGGTTTTATTCATCAGTCTCTTTTTAAGCAGCACATTCTGTGCAGGTGAACAACACAGGAAATTTTCTTATTTATCATATCTAATAGTCTCATTTTAAAAATTAAACCCCATTTTTATTTAAATCCCATTTAAGAATCCATCACATAAAATAATAATAATAATCATTAGAATTTTTGGTGAGTAATTCCAAGCTAAAAGATATAGAGAATACTTAATTTGATCTCATAGCTTGCTATTTATTGGCAATAAAAACTTCAAAAAATTATCTCTCATTGTGTTTTTGAAAATAGAGGAAAGTTTTCTTTTGAGATGGAAAGAAAATGTGATGATAAGGAAAAAAGTGTGTTTGATTCTTTCCCCACGGTTATTTCCATTTTGCCAATGCATATTTTTAAAATAAAATTTATTATGATGAATGCGAAATATAATCACGTAGTCAGAGATTATTCCAGCTATATTTGCATCTCAGTATACACTATGACTAATCTAAAGCAAATGATAAAAAGTTTTATACCTATTTGTAGACAGCATTGAAAAACGAAGGAAGCCAAGCAATGAAGCAATGAAGCATAGCACCTGCCTTATTCTTTTCTCATTTAAATATTAAATATTTGTCATGTCAAAACTATAGAAAAGAGATTCGTATTTTTTTTTAGTTAGCCAATTTAAACACTCTGGTTATTGCAATTAGACTTTAGCTTCCTAGACACAAAGGTCATGTCTTATACTTCAGTATTTCCCATGGTGCCCAGAATAGATACTCATTCAATACCTCACTGTTTACAGACAAACTCCTAACCCTGAGGATTTATTGCATTTGCTATTGTGGTCTTACATATAAAGACTTTGGTGATGTTAAAGGTAGGTAATTAAGGAAAGTTAAAATCAGACAATTGGCTATTCCATCATTGCTTCATCATAGCAAATCAGGAAGTCATCATGTTGCTCACACTTTTATCTCACTCTAAGGAGAGTTTGCTATCCCCACTAGTGACCCTGATATAACAGTAAGAAATGTCACAACCCAGCTGGTTGATATATTTGATATAAATGCTGATGCCTTGGCATTGAGAGAGGTGGGTGGGTACATCAAAGGCTTTGGGGATTACATTTTTGAGTTAATTATGAAGGTTGGCTGTTATAGGCTGCCCCTTGGTGATAAGGAGAAAAAAGAAGTTGTTTACTAATATCCCTAGTCATCCTTCCAGACTCAGCTCATAGCACTCTCTCTGTACAGCCATTCCTTCCTTTGAACCACCACTTCCCTTCCCGGGATCAGAAACACTTCCTTCCTCTCCTGTGTATTCCCGTAACATCTTTTCCTTACCTAGAATATAGAATCTGTCACTTTATATTGTAATTTGTTGTTTACTTGTCTATATCGCCCATTTTAGGCTAGCTAATTTAAGCAAAGGGATTATGTCTTATTCATCTCTGCCTCTGGAATGCCCAGAACAAAGCCTGACTCATAGCAGCTTAAAGAGTGCGTGAGGAACAGGGTACCATATGGAGAGGAAGGCACCGGAGGGAGTGTCTACACTCTGGGAACTGCTCTTGCCGCTGGCCAGTCACCAGCTGCCTCCCCTACCCCCAGCCCTTGCTGGTTGTAGATGCTGCCGCCCAGCTTGCCTGATCATGTGGGCTTTGCAATAACGGGAAATACAGCTTTGTTCTTAACAGACCGTTTGTCCTCTTTTTATTTTCTAGACCATTTGTTAGTCTTCTTTCCTTCCCTTATTCTGGATCCCGGGGTTTGGTAGTGCAGACCCAGGTGGCGCAGATCCAATCTTCCTTCCCTTTTCTCAGATATGCAGCAGATGTTCCTTTGGAAGGCAGTGGCAAAAGAAGCAGATGGAAAATTAAATAGATAACAAGCTGGAAAATGTCAAAGCCTAGCCCTTTTTATTCTCACAAATGTGTTGGTCGTGAAGGTACAAAAAGGGATCTTTGCATTCCTAACTCTCCAGAAGATTGATGTGCTGGCATAAGATACTAAGATACGTGTTCCTTTGAGCAAAACCCGTATTTGAGAGACTATCAGAAAGAACTTGCACTGATCTAATAAAGCAGTAAAAAAAAAAAAAAGAAAAAAAAAAAGGAAAAAGTACAGATAATACTCAACATCCAAATTCTGCCTCTTTTTTCAAACACAGTTTAGCCCCTCAAGTCTGTTAGAAAAGATATGGGCAAATGAAAGCGAACGGTGTATTTCTCAGATCCCAATAATGTTCATTCATGTCATTGATGATTGTCAGTCACATCAATCATTACATGGAAGTTGTTAATAAAGTAGCATTAATACTTCCATCTTTGCCTTTGGAAAGCCAAAATGTAAACATTTCAATCCATATTACCTTTTGTAGCACTGGAGCAGGGCCAGCATTTATTTAAGTAAAAATCCTAGCACTGGAAGCACAGTGCTTTGAAAATCAGGTTTCTTAGGGTACTGTCTGCACATCTTAGTTGTCAGGTCATTTTCAGGAAGCAAGCTCTGCCCAGCTGGTTGATGGAAGAGAAGAGATCGTAGCTATTATTCCACTATGAATTATCTGAGTTAACTGGGAAAATCAGAGCATCAGACTTCCCGTTTTTGAATCAGCCCTTTTTGAAAATCAATCAAATCAATGACATCTAGTCTCAGTGAATTCGTGTTTATAAGGTCAGAAACAACCGCAGTTAGCAGGGGGTACCGCTGCTGACTGTCTTTTGGTCTAAGTCCTTGCAACTTTCACTATGCTCGTTTGAGACATCTGTACCAGCTTCTATAACAAGGAAAAAAAATATCACTTTACAAAGATAGGGTTGTCTTTTTCTCTTTTTCTACTCTTCCCCAAATTATTACCTTTAAAAATACTAACTGGCTTACACACATTATCTGTGCCCTACTTCTTTTAAATATTCTTAGGCTTTCATTTTAAATAGCACATATTTTTTTCCACACTGGGAGAACACTATATCGAATTTAAGCCTTGAAAAATAAATAATAAAGAACTGGTTCTTAATTATCTTAAAAATGGACTGAGGTTAGTGTTAGATATGTCTTTGGAAACCTTAGATGGCAAAACAAGAGAACAAAATAATTTCAGACTATAACATCACAAGGATTAAAGGAATGATAGATTCTCAGGTTAGTGAAGGAGGAGACAGATTATAATTTTTGGAATAAAATCTTATTGAACACCAATAAATTAGAATAATTTCAAAGCCCTATTTTAGCCAGATAATCTGTAATTTGAAATCAGAAAATACTTTGATGAGTTATATTATTTAAGATCTTCATATTGACAAACTCCATTGTAAAGGGCTCATTCTAGAGTTGTCAAGGACTTACTTTGTGTAGGCTTCTTTTCTCTGGCTCCTTCTATCAATCTGTCTCATATCAGGAGTCCCTACCAAGAACATATGATCCCTTGGATGTCTTTTCCTAAATAACTGTCCCATTCTGATAAGAATAATCCTCTTCAAACAAGTGGAATTTTAGTAAAATGCACATGGGTATGAGGATGGGGACATCCACAGAGCCAGCCCAAATATGGAGATAAATAGCTAACAGATGAGGACCCAGATCACGTCCCCAGGCATCTAGTCACTTAGTGTGGTGGTTAAGAATCTGGGTCCAAAGACAGCTACACTTAAGTGCTGATCCAGGCCTGGGGCAGTGGCTCACGCCTGTAATCCTAGTATTTTGGGAGG